TGTAATCTATTATGCATTTTATGTGATAACTTAAGAGCGATTAAGTAACCTCAACAAAATTATGATTTTTTTGTTTGTTTTGTTGTTAAACTCAAAGCAACACAAAGGTTATCTATGCTGCAGGTATCAAACCCAGTTTTTAGCATTATAAGCCATCAGACTTTCTTCTGAGCAACCAGGAGGCCAAAGTTATTTGTTTGTTTCTGATAACATTATTTTCATTCCTGGTAACTGTTTTGTTCTTAAAGAACTATTCTTCAATGCTAAAGGATAATGAGTTTTGACAAGTATGATAAGCTGGGCCTGGGTTGCCAAGCTATTTGGATAACACCAACTTTATTTTATTGAATATATTGTTATATATTGTGTTTAAAATATAAGAGCTTATTGGTTGAAAACACAGTATTCCTAAACTGATCTCAACCAAAAACACTGTTGGCAAAATATCATGCTACTCTGTCTTACAAAGATAATGGTGCTATCATATTGAAAGGTGTAGTCATTCATTGTTCACTGGTAAACTGTGGTCAGTCTTGGTGTATTTTCTAATTTACAGCAAGAAATTAGCAAAATAATGTATCAAAAGAAATATCCGAAGAGCAAACAAGTTAAAATGTCATAAATATATAAAATTAAACTTTATGATCAATAACTTAATTTAGAAAATAACAAAAAACTTCCTGTCATTGTAGATTATTATATTTTCAAAGTGGTTTCACAACAACATTTTAAGTCACTTCACAACCTTAAAAATGATATAAATACCTTATCCAAATTTACAGCATTTCACAGTTGAGTTTCATGCAATTTGGTTAAGTATTTTCATTGTAAGAACAAAAGAATGGTTGTCATGATAACCTTCCCATCCAGGTGTTATAACATCCAATTTTACAAATGTGTCAATAATAAATTGTAACTTTCAAGCAATAATGTAGCAAGTACGACTCAAATATTTATTTGTATACAAAAATAGAAAACTTTAATACATTGTTGACATATAGACTTACTTTAACCAGATCTTCCTGAAGTTTTCTCACCTTCTTTTGAAGTTGACAGATTTGCTGTGAACCACTAGAAGTAGAAAACAGGGCCAAAATGTGACAAACAGTTTTAAATATCCTGTGTCTAAAATGTAAAAGTATTACTTCTAGTTCTAATAAAAAACTAGAAATAAAAAGCTAACTATTACACCTGATGAAAAAATAGTGTAGAAAGAAAATAATTTGCCTCTGTTATCATATGTTAACTATGAAAAAAACAAAAACAAACCTTTCACTGTTTTTTTTAGCAACGTCTTCTTTAAAATTCAATACTGAAAAAAAAAAGTAAGGAAATCAGTTATTTATCAACTTACATAATAATAAATCAGTAAATGTGTGATCCTAGTTAGACTGATTTATTAAATTAGCTACATCATTTACTGGGTTAATTTTTAGTTCTGATCTACATATGGGTCAGAAGTTATCAATTATTTAAGAGCATAAAAAACAAAAGTCCAGAGATACACCTTTTGAGTGGATTATTTATCTGTTTATCTTTTTTACATTTTGACAATAGATGACAGTTACCAGATGAAACACAAATAAAAATAAATAATCCACTCAAAAGCTGTATCTCTTGACATGTATTTAGGGTATATAGTGAATTTTCTCTCCTCACAAGTTATATTGGATTTGTTAAATTGTATACTAATAGTTTTAGAATTCCTCAGTTTGTATTTTATATTATTTATCAATATTAAGTGGGTGCTAAATTTCCCTTTAAATATAAATACTAACATTCAAAGGACAGACAAATACACTACAACCTATTACTTGTAAACTAAAGAATAGAACAAAAAAAATACGTACTCAAGGTAGATTTGTTCAGTGTGTGTTAAAATTAATATACAACTGATCTAATGTAATAACAGGTGCCTATTTAATGAACCAGGCAAGGAAGGTAGTCTTTGGAATCATTACAATAGTCAAACTAGATAAAAAAAATCTCAAGACAAACAATGATGAAGAACAACAAAGATTAATGGGGAAAATTTCAGTAGTTGCATAAATGATGGAGCATCTCAGGTACCTCACTGGTGGACAATAAATATTTACTATTTCTTTCATAGCAGCTGGCTCAACCAATAACTAGGTACTTACTCTGGCTCAGCGAATAACTAAGTACTTACTGTTACTTCCATATTGGCTGGCTCAGCCAATAAAAAAGTACTTACTACTGCTTTCTGTACTTCTGGATGCTGTATCTACAAGACTTGACCAATCCAACTCCTTAGAAGATGGTAAAGGAACAGAACTTTGTAAGGTATTGACAAGGTTGTCACTTGTATCATCTAATGAATATCTGGGAAGGAAACAAACCAATAAACATTTGAATAAAAAATCCACAAATAGTTATGAAGTAAATCAATCAGATACTATTTTAAATTAATAAAACTAGGGTTAACACTATTGTTAGGGTTGTGTATTAGAGTAAGTACTACCTTTCTTTTACGGTAGATAAATCTTTATTAACTGTCGATGAAACTAAAGTGGTAGGAATAACATGAGCCACACAAGCTCTGGTTGTTATCAACTCATCATCTGGAGGGTTGCTACATAGATGTTCAGTGTGACGGGCATTTCTGCAACGCTCCAACGAAGAACAAGGTGTAGATGTACAATCCGACTGACCAGATGAGGGCTCCGAGCCTACCACCTACAAAGTTAGTATTAAATAAACCATTAACATGGAGTTAAACCACTTGTAGCAGTGTAATATCTATAGCTAACATTTAAGTTATATGACAGAGAATTTCTTTAGATCTTTATTTGTTTAGTACAAATAATTCTACTTTGAAATTCCTGACAAATGTAGTAACGATTATTTCAGTACTACAGAATCAGCTGTCTACAAACTGTGTAAATTAAAACCTCATCATAAAAACAATTGTTCATCTCAAGTTATGTACAAATAACTTAAAAACTGGCTTATACATCAACACAGTTACATCACACCCACTGTCATCTAGAGAATCAGCTGTCTACAAACTGTGTAAATTATAACCTCATCATAAAAACAATTGTCCATCCCGAGTCATCTACAAATAACTTAAAAACTGGCTTATACATCAACACGGTTACCTCACACCCATTATCATCTAGAGAATCAGCTGTCTACAAACTGTGTAAATTATAACCTCATCATAAAAACAATTGTACAAATCGAGTTATCTACAAATAACTTAAAAACTGGCTTATACATCAACACAGTTACCTCACACCCACTATCATCTAGAGAATCAGGATCAATAAGTTTCAGCAAGTCCTTCTGAAAGGTCCAACTGCCATCACACAGAGGCTTTCTTGTCTTGCCTGAGCGAACTCTTTTTCGTAACCTACATAGTTTCAATGACATCACAAACATGCATAAGTGGATTAAATATAGCTGAAACATTTTAATTATTAATTTACACTAATGAACAATTTACAGTTTTGTGGTCCAATATAAACATTACAAAATTCTCATAGTCAACTTCCACCAAAGAATTTTAACATTTTTCACAAGTAGATATTAGACAGTATTATTTTCAAAGAAGGTGGTTGGCTTTCGGAATAAGCTGCCTTCAAGGGCGGTGGAGGCAGAAATTTAACTGAGTTAAAGAAATAATTGAATGTAGAAGTTTATGAATTTATGAAAAACTACATAGTTTCTGCCTTTAATCTGAGAACAAAATCTGATTAATATTTAATTATTCTGTAGTTTTTAATACGTTACCAACTTCAAAAGTTTTTTCAATATTACAGACTACCTGACATATCTTTTCACCTTCAATGTCCCGATAACCAGAATCAGATTTGTCCACAACTGACAGAACATAGATAGGTTTTAAGGGTATTTTTATGACAACCTACCTGTACATGTGTATATCCACCTGATTCACCTTGGTTTTCTATCTACTTCTATGATAAACTACCTGTAGACATGTGTATATCCACCTGATTCACCTTGGTTTTCTATCTACTTCTATGATAAACTACCTGTAGACATGTGTATATCCACCTGATTCACCTTGGTTTTATATCTACTTCTATGATAAACTACCTGTAGACATGTGTATATCCACCTGGGTTTTCTATCTACTTCTATGGTAAACTACCTGTAGACACGTGTATATCCACCTTGGTTTTCTATCTACTTCTATGATAAACTACCTGTAGACATGTGTATATCCACCTGATTCATCTTGGTTTTATATCTACTTCTATGATAAACTACCTGTAGACATGTGTATAACCACCTGATTCATCTTGGTTTTATATCTACTTCTATGATAAACTACCTGTAGACATGTGTATATCCACCTGGGTTTTCTATCTACTTCTATGATAAACTACCTGTAGACATGTGTATATCCACCTGGGTTTTCTATCTACTTCTATGGTAAACTACCTGTAGACATGTGTATATCCACCTGGGTTTTCTATCTACTTCTATGGTAAACTACCTGTAGACATGTGTATATCCACCTGATTCACCTGGGTTTTATATCTACTTCTATGATAAACTACCTGTAGACATGTGTATATTCACCTGATTCATCTTGGTTTTCCAATTGTGTAGTTTAAGGTGGATTATATTATCAAGTGGTCTACGTTCAAGAATTATGATATCTGTAACATCATAAGTGCAGCTACCATTATGTATTAAACACTTTGAGAAATAGCCAACTTTTTGTCACTGATTTTAAATAGAAAAAAATAAATTAGTAAATTATATTATTGAACTAAGAATTAGCTTCTTAGTGCAATATTTAACTTCATTTTCTTGGTATGTATTCAACATAGCTTTTAAAGTAATTCCACAAGCATATTTTTTTAACTAACCTTGGTGGTTCCCCTACAGAGCTAGGTAACAATATGTAACCATCTTCACTACACCCTTCTTGAAAGTGGGAAGGAAGACTACTGTACTGTTCAGGACTTTCCCTTCCAGCTTCATTCCCAAAAACTAAACAAAAAACAAACAGTAAAATTAATCTTCATGAGCTCTAAATTTATATTTGTAATCTTGCACAACCTCTTAAAAGGGAAGAAAACATTTGTATTTCATAAAACACTGTCAACAAGCATATGTAATTTTGTTTACTGGGTAAAATCAAAGTGAAATGAATGTAAACAACATTGCACCCACATGGTTATAATAGTTCACGATGCATAGAAAATCATATCTTTATAAACTCTTCATGGTATAAAGCAATGGCTGAACCTATTTACTTCTTCATTCTGATTCATAGAAGTTAGGTAAAACTAAATGACATGCAGAAAAAAATCACAACTGAACAGGATGTTGGACTTGCCTGATATAAGGATGAAAACAAAACAACAACTATCTGAGAAATTTACCTAATCTACAACAGGAAACTTGAACTTAACCCTGTTGTTAGACTTACATAATCGAACAGAGAAAAGAGGGCAAGAATCATCTGAGAAAACAGAAGGAAATTGATGAAATCATGAGAACACAGACACTTAAACTATATTCACAGTCCATTAACTCACCTGAACCGTATATGGAATCATGGGATTGTGATGATTTAACATCAAAGCCAATAGCAGACAACACACCTCTCCTATGTAGAACTGTAGATCCAGAAGAAGGGTACGATTGTTGGGCAGATCCAATCTGAGACAAAGACAGTTCACTGCGAGACATGAACAGACCCGCTGTTCCTCTCCTTTCACTGGGAAAACTTACAAGAGCACACAGTCGTGCAGGCTTTGGTGGTGGTGGAGGAGGCTGGCGGGATAAAACTTGAGTAAAAGCACTATTCTTCGAAGGCTGAAGAGAGACTGACGGAAGAAGAAGTGGCCTCTCCTCACAGTGCAAAACAGTAGGTTGAAGTTGTTCATTTATTCTACTAGGTGGTTCCACTAGTTCATCTTCAACATTAATGACCTGCATTTAAAACATTAAATACTTACTCACGAGAAATCTTCTAATTACTTGTGTATTTAACTTCCAACATTTAACAAAAATGTGACAATGTGTAAAACTCAGATTTTACAAAGACTTACAGTAGTTATATGAAATTCTTTAAAATATTATTAATTTGTAAATATTTACATTAAACTAGATGTCAAAACTGTTACATTTGCTGAAATGTGTTATCCTGAATTACTGCTTACTTTCTTCTTAAGACACACAAGATACTAATTAACTTATATTTTGCAATAATAATAATAACAACAACAACAATAATGTTTCCAAACTAATTTGCTAACAACATACAGTTTTTAAATAATAAGCCAAATTCCCCAGACTATATCATCTCCAGGAACATGACTTTAATACAAAGTCTACACACCTTGGGATCACATTTTTCTGTATGTTCTGTGAGAAGTTGCTGACCAGAATCTTGAGATGATTGACTGATTTGGCCACGAGATTGGCTACAAAAATAAACAATGTTTGATAAAATAAACTTTCAAATGCACTGCAAACATTATAGCCTTTAGTTCCCAATTGTAACTTTAACTGGTACATTTAATAAAACTGTTACGAAAAGAAAATTTCTGAAAAATAAAATAATGATATTCTATGGTCAAATGTTCATGTAATAAAAACAGACTGTATAAAATACACCTCGTTAATTACCTAAAATTGGAAAGTAATACGAGGACCCTGGTCATGAAACAAAACTATATTACATGTGTCACAGTTTATAAAAGAACTCTGTAACAGAAAAAACAAGAGCTTGAGTATCAAGCTTCTACAATAAATTGTAAATAAAATTTTAATATTTCACAAAAAAAGACTAATAAAAAGCTAACAATGTTTGCATGATAAAATATGACCATTTTCCTCAATTAAAAATATATACGATTCTCATTCAACTTACAAACTGTGACTAAAACATGTTTATAATATGGAAGAAAATTGTTACTTCCTACAAAAATATACATAAAATATTATCAAGTAAAACACTAATAGTACCAGGTGAAATACACTATAAGTAAAACACTGTAATAGTACCAGGTGAAATACACTATAATAAGTAAAACAACAGAGATAGTATCAAGTAAAACACTGTAATAGTACCAGGTGAAATAAACTATAATAAGTAAAACAACAGAGACAGTATCAAGTAAAACACTGTAATAGTACCAGGTGAAATACACTATAACAAGTAAAACAACAGAGACAGTATCAAGTAAAACACTGTAATAGTACCAGGTGAAATAAACTATAACAAGTAAAACACTATAAAAGTACCAGGTGAAATACACTATAAAAAGTAAAACAACAGAGACAGTACTAAGTAAAACACTGTAATAGTACCAGGTGAAATACACTATAACAAGTAAAACAACAGAGACAGTATCAAGTAAAACACTGTAATAATACCAGGTGAAATAAACTATAACAAGTAAAACACTATAAAAGTACCAGGTGAAATACACTATAACAAGTAAAACAACAGAGACA